CCTCTGTGTGGGATTCCATCGCTCCGATCGTTACTTGAGTTGGCTGTTTCGCTGGGCTTGCGCTTTTCCTTCACTAGGGCACTGTGTCGAGCTTCGCGGCTGACGCTTCGAATTTCTTCTCGGCGTGACGGCACTGTTCGCGTTTCTCTGTCGCTGTGTCGCGCTTTCGCCTGCTCGTTGCGCAACTCTCGCCGTTGATATTGCGCTAGGTCGGGGTTTTCTTTGGGTTGTTCTCTTGTGTTCTTGCTCTAGTGGCCGTGGGGTTTTATTCCACAAACCCTCGCTGACGTTCCCTCGGGTCCCTGCTCGGGCGCCACTTGTGATGATCCTATTTCAGGCTGAGGTAAGCTCAGTCACGTCCAGGGGTCTGTTCACAAGAAATTTGTAGAAATGTGTTGGAACCTTAAGGGCGGCGTCAGAGGGCGGCCTGTCGTAGAGAGGCGGATCGGGGCTCGGGCGGGCGTTGCTAGCGTTGTGTATATGAAACGACCGTGTGGACTCGGGATGGGGCGACGTCGGTGCCTCGGCTGATTGGGGTGAACTTACGCAATCGGGTGTTTTTACTTTGCAAATTTGACACTTTATTGTATTTCTTAGCGGTTTAACTGACTTCTTTTTAATTGGGCGCCGATGTCTTCTGGTGGGTTCCGGGTACCGCGTCTGTACTCCGGGCTGGGTCTCTGCGTAAGTTGCTTTCTGGTTTCCAGTCGGCGTCTATTTATACGCCAATGGGCGCTGTGTCAGCGGGTTCGGAAGTGCACTTCCGTGTCGGGGTGCACTTCGCTGTTCTGGCGATCGCGGGTTGACCTAGTTCTGCCTCTTCGTGTTTTTGGCGAACTGGCAGGTTTGCCGTTGGGGGCTCGTCGTGGGCTTCCGCGGTGTCATCGTTTTGTAGCCGATGAACCCGGAAGACTGCGCCTGGCCGGTTGCTTGGTCTGGAGTGGTGGAAGTCAGCGTGACCTGGTGTTGGGTCAGCGTTACGAAGACGGCGCCTGTCAATCGGTGGCTATGTGTGGAGGGGGGGTGTTCGCGTAGTAAATCACTTTGGGCGAGGTGTTGTAATTTAGTAGCCGGATCTTTATTGGGTGTTGGGGGAGGCGTTGTAGCGAACCCTTTTGGGTTCGTTACAAAAGTTGTAGTTCGAAAAATATATATTGGTCCGTAGAATTCTGTTGTTTACTTCCAGAGTGAACATATGCCAGATGTACACGGAATAGGAGAGTCTCGAGAGAGGCTGCCACAATGGCGAGGATAGGAATCTGTCTGCCAGACCGCCATGGCCCTGCATTTTATTTATTTATTTATTAAATTAACGAATTATCTGTTAATAATGGTACTTTGTTACTAAAGGCGGAAAAAGATAAGTTAAAAGTTAGCTAAATTTAAGTGATTATAAATATTGCATGTAATTAGTTTTAGAGACAGTTCAGGGGATAGGGTTTGACAGAGGGAGTTATAATTATGGCATAAAACCCTAAAAGGTTCATGATCAGCATAACTAGACCTACATATGGGTAGACGGATAGGCCTAAAAGTACGGGTAGGTCTAGATGGAACGGCCAAGTTAATCTGACCCAAAAGAGTTTGGGAGTCAATAGTCCCGAGAAGGAGCTTGAGCACGAACATTACTTCATTGCATATTCTACGATGCTGCAACGACGGCAGGTCAATAAGATTTAGCCTAGACCGGTAGGGTGGCAAGATTCTACCCGAGTCCCAGTTAAAGTTCCGAAGGGCAAAAATTAAAAATTGCTTTTGCACGGATTCAATAACAGCCTGCTGCTCTTTATACTGGGGGCTCCACACACAAGAATAATACTCCAATATAGGACGTACTAACGAGATGTACAGTTGTTTCGTAACGTACGGGTCGTCAAACTCCTTGGACCAACGCTTGATGAACGCTAAAACACCCTTAGCTTTATTTACAGTTGCACCTATATGGGTATAGTATATCCGACTCCATGTCCAAGAACCACCCAGAACAGGGACATGCAGCGGATTCCATCAAGACAACTGATCACGTTCGGATTCGATTTGCTGTCCACAATGCGGAAGATGGCACGGGAACTTGACCGTGCCGAGCAAATCTTCACAGTCACAGGGATACTACCTGGTAGGCAAAATACGAGTTAAATCATTTTGTAAATCATTCCGTTCTCTCCGTTACTCACTCTGATCCTGGCACAGAAAGTAGTCGTAGAGCGTGCATAGACCCACGATAGTACCCATCAAGCCAAGAAGTACACTTCAATCCATAGTATGAGTCACAGAATTTGATTATGATACGGTCTAACTTACACTGACAGCTGGCCTCGCTGAATTTTATATTTGTGCTGCTTGAGTTCAACAAATTCTGCATTAACTGCTCCAGAAACGTATCCATATGTGCCGCAGAGCAGGAAGCCGGAAGGCAAGATGCGATCTTGATCGAAATGGATACGGCGGGTACAATTAGAAAACAGTACTTACCATGTATGCTGTGACTACTGGTGATCTCCTCGCTGATCTTGACACACTCATCGAAGTTACCCAGATGGTAGGCATTGCCGAACAGCACACCTGAGGGAATGGAGCCCCAAGCATCGATCACTGCTCACAAAATTCGTCAACTTCAGTTCTCATTCACTTGAATATAATTTTCATTATTTACTTACTCTTAAGGGCCCATAATTTTCCAGCAGTGAGCGCCTGCATGAACTGCGCCATGTCCGCGAAACACAACAGATCCTCCTGACTGGGTATTCGGGGGTGGAATAGATCCAAGTCCGGGAGCGATGCATTACGGAAGTGTTCGGCAAACTCGACTCCCAGCGGGCGGAGCCTTTTTAAACGCTGGTAATCTTGCAGGACATCTCCGTCTTTCAGTTGTGCGGCACTGACAAGTACCACTCCGCAGACAAGTAGACTGCTTAAAACGTTCACCATGCTAATACTTTTTCGATTGAAGGCATTGCACCTTTGGGTGAGTTTATAGGAATGTGACTGTGATTTTAAAGGAATGTTTTGAGGGAAATCTGGCGATAACATTATCAGTGTGTCAGCTCTCGAGTCAAGTATATCAGCCAAAATGCTTAATTCAGTCGAACATCACTGATAAGGACCAATCCGTCTAAATTCTAAGTAGTCACAAGCTCATTTATTTATAATCTTTTCCCAGGTAATCGTTTTACTTATTGACTTTTGATGGATTAAATTTGGTTTTAATATGAGTGAGTAAGAAAAAAACGGAGAAAACAAAAGTTTAGCTAAACATAGATGTAGATGTTCTATAATTCTGATCATTGCGTGAAAAGATTATAGCCGGGGAGCAATTATTACCATTAGTGGTGGCAGATCCTTTCTTTGTTTCAATGTTTTTTCCAATTCTCATGACAAGTAGCAGCAAAATGGCGAGAGTTCGTGAAGAGATTCCGCCTCCCCGCAACAACCAAATTTAAAACGAGGGGAACGTTGTGAGTTGCTGCGGACACCGCAACTCTACATTTATATCCGATACTTAGTCAGTATGGCTCTCCTCCGGCAGAGGCCGCTAATATTAAACGACACGACAAAGAGTGCGTGCGAGAGAGACAGAAAATCAGTCTGAGCGTGACGTTGGGCGCTGCGTAGCCACTGCAAATTGATTTCTTGCTTTTGCAAAAATGATCCGATATGGTCATTATCTATGATTATGCGTTGTTAGTTTTCTCGAATGTGCAATATTGTGAATGCAACAGATTTTCGTCCTTTGTGGGGGCGGAAGGGGGTGGGGCGAAATTCTGAGATATACGCTTTATAGTGAGATCTAACGGAAGTGCGGATACCAAATTTGGTTACTCTAGCGATAATAGTCTCTGAGATTTGTGGATTTTCGTCCTTTGCGGGGGCGGAAGGGGGTGTGCCGAAATTTGGACACGAAACGGTCAAGGTCCGATATCACAGGAGTGTGGATACCAAATTTGGTTGCTCTGGCTCTTATAGGTTCTGAGATCCTTGAACTCATATTTTGCAATTGCCAAAACCGACCATGAAGTCGTGTTAGAGAGAGAGACAGAGCGAGAAAGAAGAAATTGTTTTCTTGATTCTGGCTATAATAATTATACGATCTGGTTGAGATTTTACATTCTAGAACATATAAACATCCTCTACGATTCTGCGTTTTTGGTTTTATCGTATCTTTAAAAATGTGGATGCCACAGATTTTCGTTCTTTGTGGGGCGTTTGTGGGCGGGGCGAAGTTTTGAAATATTTTTGTGGCGTTGTGGGGTGGGGCTAGGAGACCTGAAAAGAAGGGAGAATCTGTTAGGAACACAACATCGAAGTGGGCCCTGAACTATCACTTGGAGCCGTTCAGAACTGGCTCTGGGAATCATTCAGTACAAATATCGAAAGTACAGGGAACATAAAGTAAATAAAAATACAAATACAAAACAAAGCCCATGAACGAATATTTCCTCCCAGGTGCTGGAATAAGATGAATCCAACTATTAACAATCCACGTTCCCCATTCACCCGTACGCGGGGTATTTTCGGATCCATGGGATCCTTCGACTTTACCGACCAGCAGCAGCAGCAGCCGGAGCTGCAGGTCCCCCCCGAAGGTTCCGGCGACAAGAATGGACTCAATGCGATGCCCTTCCTAGGCCAAATCCACACCAGTCCTCTGCTGTCCCGCCCAATGGGTCCAATAGGTCGCGCACACCCTCCACCTTCCCTCCGATGTGGGATTCAGATGGGTGAGCGGCAGCAGCCCAGACTCCCCTTCGCCCCAGGACATAACTTACCCCCGGCTCTCCTGCAGATTCAATGCTGTGCCACAGATGTCATCGATGGGACCACCGCCCGTGTTGAGCTCCCTCTGAACAGGCGGCGCTTCTCCGGACAGCCGCGGAGACTACTACGACGCACCAAGTCGGACTCGGAGTGGGAGGAGCTCTCCGACGGCCCTTCCCCCAGGGTCTCCCCGCTGGAGTCCCTCGGCGCAGTCGTGCTCTCCACAATGCAGCCGGAGCCACAATGTGGCCTTGTACCACCTCGTCTTGGAGACCGCTGTGGTCAAGGTCGTGCTGCTGGTGCTACAGATGCTGTGCTGCGCGGTGTTCTGGCTGGTCGAGAAGACCGTGGGCGTCAACGAAACCGTCGGCTCCACGCGCCTCCGATTGTGGAACCAAGCTGCGCACCATCCAGCGCCAGTTGCTGTGGCGCATGGCCAATTCACGGGGCGACGAGACGCTCGTTTTCTTTGCCGTGCTCACGACCACGCCCTGGCTGTTCTCCCTCAGCCTCCTGGGATTCTTCCTGTCCCTGGCGGCGCTCCTGAAGAAGACCGTCAAGGAGCTGGTGTTCCAGATACGCCTGCACCTCGTGCTCTAGGGGGCAGCCATCGAGCAGAAAGCAGCAAGCAGTCCAATCACACACTGACAGAAGATAAAAAGATAAAAAGTCCACACGCCCGACACTCCACCCCTCCCCTCAGAGATGTTTGCACTTCCATTTGGGCATCTATTTTCGTTGATGCCAGAATCGCAATGCACGGAATCGGCTCTCCGTTTTTGCCCGCAATGAAAATATATGCCGAAATATTCGAAATTTAAAGTCAAATTCAAACACAAGAGTTTCCAGTCGATCAGATATATCGTTTATGCATATTACGATCCGTTCCGTTTGGACGGGAGGCCACTTGCTCATCCCTCATCCCCGTGATTGCATTTATTATTATTATTTTTATTTCGCTGCATATTTGTTCTGCAATTTATTCAATGATAAACGGAGGAGGAGAGCATGCAGCAGCAGCAAAACATTTCCGCTGCAGCAGGCTGTGGGGCCTTTGTTGCCCCCAATTGCAGGCCCCCGCTTACGCACTTCGGAGGCACGGAATCCACCAGAAGCGGCAGCAAATGATACATTAAATATTCACTGTACTCGTGTTGATTCAGTGATCAGTGATCAAAACAACACAACAAAAGCGTCATCATCCACGATCCACGACCCATGATCCCTGATCCAGAATCCGTAGAAGCATCCATTTTCAGGGCTCTCTTGGGCGCTGGTTAAGGTACGCCTCCGATGTCAATCCCTTGCCACACGGGCAATCCGAGCTAGCCCCGATATGTAAACAGTGTCAAGACTACCTTTTCGAAGGGGCCAAGGGAGGCGCCGGCTCTTCTTGGGATCCGATTACCGAACCGATTGCATAAGACTCGGCCCGGAAGTGGACATACTCGTGTGCAGCCCTTTCGCCCGGCTATGGCTATTCCCATTTGTGATTACAGTCTGTAGCGCCACAGCAGCTCGTATAGTCTTTGAGCACTAGGCGCTGAAGGGGACGGACAGACGGACGGACGGACGGACGGACGGACGAACGGACGGACGGACAGACGGACAGACAGACAGGGCTCAATCAACTCGGCTATTGATGCTGATCAAGAATATATATACTTTATGGCGTCGGAAACGATTCCTTCTGGAAGTTACACACATCCACTTTTACCACAAATCTAATATACCCCAATACTCATTTTGAGTATCGGGTATAAAAATTGCCAAGGTTCATCCAGATTCCTTCCGTCATTCAACTGATCCTGCTATAGAATAGAAAGCAGAAGAAGACCATAGAAAGTGTGGAAAAAACGTGGGTTGCTGTACTTAGTAATCCCAGCCTCTTTCTTTTTCTCCTCGTGACCGTCAGAGTGACCGGCAGTGGAAAAAGAAGTCTTGTAGAGCTGACCCAGTTCTCTAAACCAAGGTCAAGCCAAAGTCAAAGCCTAGTGCAAGTGCCAAGTGCGGCTCAAAGTGGTCATTTAATTTGAGTGGACGCGCCAGTTATATATTGCCAAGGCTGGGGCAGCCGTTCGACCATTTGGGAAAACGAGCGCACACAGTGTACTAAAATTTTTCGAAACGGTGCAATTCAGTTGAGGTAATTATCCACCCAGCTACAGCGACCCGTTGAAAAATGTTCTGTTCTTTCCGCATTACCTGCGCCCGGTACAATCGTGTGCCACTTTCTAACCTCGAGTAGGAACTCGGTCTCCAGCCGGGAAGCATCAACCACGCCTCGGATTTAGTTATATTTTCTACCTTTCTTTCGAATTTAGACCCGATATGCGAAACCCTGTTTTTTTATCCGCTTTCTGTTTAACTACGTTCTTTTGATACGGCAAAAATTTGCAACAGCCAATTAAATCCGGTATAAACAAAAAGGGAATTCCTGTCCATGGGCTAAGTCGACCTTGAACAAATGAGTAGTGTATTAATACCGATTATTTTTACAGTTTTTGATTTTGGTTGCTACGCATTCATCTCATCATCTATGCAGATAATCATCACAATCACACACATCATCATACTCCTCCACCAATCAAATCATCTTATCCAACACACAACGAAAGATCTTTCTGCGTGGGAGTCAAAGCTATTAATCGTATCGTAAGTGATTATCCTGAACCAGTTTTCGGATGGCCAGGGCGTTTCCAACCAGTGTTTTTGTTCAAAACGAGCAACACAAGGAGACGGAAAAATTACGGTTCTATAGAAAAGGTGAGAAACCAGGAATTTCTCTCTCTGCAAAGAAAAAAAAACAAATTATGACATAACCTTTCCTTAAAACAATCAGATCAGTTTTCCTCAAGGGCAGGAAAACCCTAGGAAAAGTGGCTAGGCTCCCCGACGCAACATTCTTTGGCAGACCAGCAGCCGCAGCAACGCGAATTTTGCGCAGTCTGGGTCTGTTTGATTGTCAGGAGCGGGTGAGCGGGGTCAACGACCGGAGCAGAACGTCGGGAGAAAGAAACTCTGGAGGCAACAATTGTTCAACATAGTCCCAGAATGGCTCGGGAGAAGTCTAACGACAGCATTATGATTTTCGAAGCGGAACATCGCTGCAACATTTGTAAGGAAGCAATATTGTCAAAGGAAGAGTGCTGTGTCACACCCTGTGATCACTTCTTTCATCAGCATTGCATAGTCCCGCATATTGAAATGCATAAGGAATGTCAAGTTTGTAAGAAGTTGGTTAGTGTTAAAGACATTAAATCAGTCCATGTGGGTTCGGGTGAAGAAGGGGCTATGGGTACGTTAAGAAATCCACAACCGCAAACAGGAACAATTCCAAAAGGATATAATACAAGAAGTACAGGCCATAGGACCGTCGAAAAATAAGTAGGAAAAGAACCGAGTACAAAATATTCAGCGAAAAAGGAACGACGAACGGCAAAAAATGCAAAGGCACAGGCCGCAGTTAGGCAAAAGTATCCCTCAGTAAATACTCGAGGTTTAGAAATACCAATTATACAAGGAACGGATAGTGTGAATCAGTCACTGACGAATTCTAGTAGCATAGGGGAGACAGATTAGACTTCACTACTAGAGAGTCTGGAAGCGATAATCGAGGCAAAGTTAGCAGGCAGGTTCATACCAAATTCTCCCTCGGCAGCTAATAATACCACTGTAGGACGAGATAATCTCCCTAGAAACCCATCTGTTCGAGAATTTAACGTGAATAACCGTGAAAACAATCGATCAATCTGTACGTTGAGTCCAGAAAAGATAACGCACTTAATTCAGAATTGGGGTTTACGATTTGATGGAGCATCAAAAGGGTTACCGGTTGAAGAATTTCTGTATCGTCTTCGAGCCATCTGCAAAAATCTACACATTCTGCTTGCCAGAAAAGCGAGAGATTGGTTTTGACAATATCGAAAAGAAGTCGTCGTGATCGTGGCAATATGTGGATTTGCGTACTGACGATGAGACAAAAGAGGAAATGAGGGCTAGAAAGCAGGAAGTAGGAGAAAGCTTTGATGACTACTATGATGACGTTATGAGTATTGCAACACGGTTTACAGAACCTCTGGAAGAAGCGCGCCTCATAAAGATTCTCATCCGAAATCTTCATATGGAAACGACATCACATTTTATTCGAAGAAATTTCATCCGTGGGACAGTTAAGAAAAATGTGTCATATGAGAGAAAATTTGATAGCAGAACAAGCAGAATTAAAGTCGCAGAACAAGATTTTTGATAGATTTGGAAAGCAAAAGAAAGTAGCAGAACTGGAAAGCGATCAAGAACATTTTGAAAGTGTCTCAGGCGAAATAGAAGCGGTGCAGGTGGCGAAGCGAATTTTGAAATGTTGGAATTGTGAGCAAGAAGGACATTGTTGGGATATGTGTACTCAAGTAAGAACAATTTTTTGCTATGGATGTGGTGAGAAAAATGATTATAAGCAGTGTGCAGTCTGTCTGTAGCGCCATTTGGCTAATAATAATTGTTATTAGGATAGTATTTCATGAAGTCTAGTGTAAGTTAGGCTAGGGCAAAGCGGGAGCGCAATAAAAGCTCGCTCTCTCGCTCTTGGCGAATTCGCCCCGCTTTGCCACCGTAGGTAAGGTAGGCACAGAAGAAATTGTTTTAATATATGAAGAAAAGTCGAGAAAAATCCATGAAAACGAACGCACGCACTCCCTTTTTTTCGTCGTATTAAAATACAAAATTGCAGTCACCCAAGTTATTTCGGTATCTTTATTTAGAAAAACTATTCTAAAATTTCATGGCGCCCCCGGGTGGACTTGCAATTTAAACATATTAATTCAAGTGGAAGGCAAAAGTGACAGTGACACAGTGGAAAAAAGATAAATAGCCAAAATCTATTATACCTACATGTACATGCATATGTGCTGCAGCAAAATTGCCAAATTGACCGCGACGTGTGTGCAATAATTCAACAAACAAAACTAAAAATCACCGCGTCGGTCGTGCAATACCCTGTTTGCAGCTATATACAAAAGGAGATATATACATATACCATCTACCAAAGAAGATCCAAGTGGAGCATCCAGTATAAGAAGAGGAGAGTACAGCACCTGGAATTTCCAATCTTCTCAAGAGGTATTTGTGCAAAAAATTGGAAGCTCGAATGAAGACGAAAAGATAAAAAAAAAAACTCGCAATTATTGTCTTGTGCTGAAACAATTGCACCTCGCTTTCAATTCTTGGCACATACGTATGACATAGTAGAGCTCGATTGCATGCTGTAGTTAGAGTTGAGCATATATATTAAAAAATATATACATACATATGTACATCTAACCCTCTTGGACGCAATAACTACACATATAACTCATTTTAACTGCAATCGCTGTCACCCCTTTCCGGTTTTCGTTGTGTCAAATATATGTATAGTTGGGTCGTTGGCCAAGCACGCATACCAATACGCAGCTGCAGCGGTGAATTTTTTCGTCTCGCTTTCGCTCTTCACCGTTGCTTATCGTTGTTCTTTTGTTTGGCGCGCTTGATCCAAACCAAACACCAAGTGACGCGCTACCCTGTTTTCGTCGGGTATATTCGGGTATATGTCAGTAGGATCCAACTAT